CCCCCCCCCCCCCTTCTCCCAGAAGCTCAGGTACCTCTACTCTTGAACTTACGCGGGCTGGAGCGTGACGACTGGCGCTATATATCTGTACTGAAGGCCCCGTCCATACTCCTGAACTAGCGGGCGACGCGTAGCTCCCTCTATGTTAATCAGCTTGAGGAAGATGCTCTCATTACGCTCTCCAGAGCTCCTCCAGCAGCGCAGGGGTAGGATAGGGTTCGGTCACACCGACGCAAGTGTGGCGCTCGGACTCAGTATGGAATGCCACGGCTTTGATCAATGAAAAGGAAAGATCCGGCTGAACGCCCTCGACTGGATATAAGCTTCCTTCAACACAGCAAGAGGCAGCTAAGAGCGGGGAGTTGAAATATCATCGTCGGTATAAAAGACCGGATCATTTCTTCCCAAGACTCCGCCTCGTTTCCTGTTGGCGGTAAATAGAAAAGTCGACGCCCTCATATCGAAGGCGACGGCATAAAACCCAAACGCGATGCGCTATAGCTACTTTTATGCGATTGTCGGCGCGCCGTTGACACGAACCCGGCTGCAGGTGGGGAGATGAGAATGTATGCAGCTCTGCAGCTTGACTGCGAACTTCCCGCGGCTATACCACTAATCAAGGCTGATCACTTGCACTTGGGACACGGTTCGTACCACAGTTAGGGCAATCTCCATGAGTCAAAGACCTAGAGCCGCGCCATACTCGCGGTCGTTTGCTAGGGGTGTAGCACGAGGCAGCGTAATGATGGAGAACATAAACCTCGTCGAGCAGGGCAGAGGTGCAGGGCAGGCGTTAGCACAGGTTCGTGTTTGCTGTTAGCCTAGATTGGCGTAGGCTGTTGTAAAATGTATTATACCTCTTAATTTGTATTCCATATTTGCTGGTAATCATCATGAAATTCAACCCAGAATGGGGCGTTGGGCGACGGCATTTTCTGCCTCTTAGCAATTCCTGCGAGCGAAAGTTGAGCTCCGAGATGAGTATATCCGTCCACTATCTAAAGGTGACTTATGTTCATTGCGCTTCCAGCTGCTGTTGCTGTCGCCCATTGTTCGTGTTGGTCGGCAAGCTGGCGCTGACTCTAAGAGTGATGTGAATTGAACTCCTTTGGATCACGGCGTCCGACTATCCGAAAAAGTAGCTTTCTGATGAAGCCCAGCCGTCTTCCGACTGGTGGCCGCCTAAGCAGCCTGTGCGTGACTCTTCCGCCAGCACCACCTTGGCGGCTTCGGCCACTATTGCCGTCACCTTGAGTGCTCGAATGGCGAAGGGTCCCTGAGCGTCGCGCGTCGTGGCCCCACATCCTTCTGTTGTGTGCCTCTCCAGCTTCGCGTGTCGTGCCGGGGCTCTCCCGAATCGGTGCTGGGTGATATCGACTGCTTTCGGGAACATAGGTACGGGAAGGGGGACTTGACGCTGGGGA